CCCCCCCAAATCTCCAAACCAATTATCTACTTGTTCCATCAGTTTGCTCATTTTACAAATTTGACAGTTGTACACAGACAGATAGTGATGCGTCCACACCCTTAAACCTAACATTATATTATTCTGGTACCCCTCATGCTGCAGGTAAATAGCAAAACTGTTGTATCATCTCTTCGTAAAAAAACAACCCAAAACAAATGATACCTCTTTAGCAAGTCCCTCTAAAATCTCTGCACGCACTTATTATAATCTATCAGAATTATTTATCAACATATGGATTTCTCATTCCTTTTCTCAGATGGATCCTGACCTCATCATCACAAGGACGTCCAATAATATATCTGGGCAGATGATGGGCGAATACGTCATTGGTCACATCATAGCCCGAGAAAGGAACTTCCTTGGCCTAGCGGACTGCCAACAAAACTGTCTATACGAGCAGTAAGATTCTTTTCTTTTTGTGAAACAGCTGAACGTTTTGCTAGACTAGAGGGTAAGAGAAAATTGGAACGTACTAGATCTAATTTGTACATCCGGTGTGTCCACATTCGGGGATAGGGGTACATTTGGGTAGCTGTAACGTCATGCGTGACACACACATTCTATTAACTATTAACTTGATTATTAAAAATCGGGAGAGGAGGTGAAAATTACTTCAATAGACGTAAGTAGGACATTTCAAATGCAGGCATTACTCTTTGAAAAAGCAGGTTAATAACATAACAGACCAAATCGTCGCTGTAATGACGGACGGGAAAAAAGTCTAAGAGAAGAAACACGGTTGACAGGGAGCCCTTCTCGAGAAAGGTTGTGATCAACACTTACTGTATAAACAGTTTATGCCGAAAGCGTTGGTTGTGACACATACGAGGGCTGTCCCACGGAAAACCGGAAAAGGTCCATAAAAGCAACAATCTTTGTCCGATTATAATAAAAATGTAACACATCATACCTCAACATGTGCTTTATTTCTCAATGTAATCACCATCCCGCTGGACGCATTTTTTCCATCGCTGGATGTGGGAGAAGATACAGTCCCTGAAGAATTTTTCGTCAAAGGATTTCAACCAATCTTTCACGGCTTCCACGAGGTCTTCGTCGTCGGTGAATCG